AGGCCTCATCTGGTCCCCTTCCTGGCTGCTCCTGTCTGGTTCTGCTAGCCCTCTTTCTGGTGGAGGACCTTTTTAATGGTAGGCTCTAGGCTTTGGTTATCTAGGATACCCCTACCTGGCTAGTGAACATGGGTCCTGTTTGGAAAGGGCTATCAGCTTGTCCAGAGTCATGTTCTTAAGCTCTAGAATTTTCAGGAGGTATAGGGACTCTTTAGGGATGGTAATCAGTGGGGGACTTGACATTGTTCCCATACTATCTCATCACCTCTTGTGGCTCAAGGAAAGATGGGTGGGGGGTGCTTAACAACATGGCCAGAACTGGAACTCCCACATGAAAAGGACACCTTAGTCTTCAATAGAGACCCTAATTGTTCCAAATTCAGTGGGTGACCTTGACCTAGCCCTCTTCTGATCTGTACCTTGGTTTACCCAACTAGTACATGTTTGGGGGTTAAGGATGGGAGAGGGTTGCTGGTCTGTGTCTTTTCTGTTCTGAGAGACCCTCAAAGTCTTTCTGTCTCAGGGAGAAAACAAAGGGTCCTGACTCATATCTCAAAATTATTCTCTTAGGGCCCTAAAAATAAGCAGCCCCGTTAGGCATTACTGGCTCCTCTCCCCTCACACTGGGGCTCTAGGGAGGTCCTTGCTGTCCCAGTATGGTGGCCCTTGGGTCTCTGCTGGGCCACCCTCGTGGCAGCCACACATCATACCACACTGACCTCCAGCTCACCTCTGGTCAGCAGGGCTCCCTGGCAGAACATACCAAGCTCAGATCAGCCTTTGACCTCAGGCGTCCCTCCTGCTCCCTGGGCCCCCTCCCCAGACCCGGTGCCCACTCCTTCTGTCCCTGGCTTCCTGCCACTCAGGCTGGAGAGTGTAGGGTGGGGGTGGGGGTGGGATGACAGCTGTGTAAGCGATGGTGGCTGGCCCCTTCCTGCCCCTCCCCCCCAGCTGTCTCTCTTCCATGACAGCTGCCCAATCAAAGGGCTGGGGGCTTAGCCAGCTCCCCCCACAGGCAGGGATCAAGTGTCCACCCTGGCTTTGTTCTGCAGTAAGAACAATCTAGGGGAGGGGAGGGCTCCTGGGGCCAGGCAACTCAAGTAGACTGGCCCGCCCCTTGGGGGATTCCCTCCATTCTGCTGGCTGGAGTGTCTGGACCAGTGAGGGCCTATGGACCCACCTGGGGTAGGGAGAGAGCTTCATCCCCCTCAACTCCCAGCTCCCAACCTAGTAGTATCCTTCTCACTTCAAAAGCAGCCATGCTGGCCACACCTAGTGATGCTGGGGAATGGCTCTGAGCATCGGGCAAGGCAGGGTGTGGCAGAAGGATGGACAGTGGGGTGTGGGTATCAGCACTGAAGGTTCTTCATTCCTCTGCATATCTCCTACTCTGGGGATGCTAACCCTTGCTGATTAGCCAGGCCCCACAAGATATGCCCTAGCATCCTCAGACCCATTGGCCAGCCTCAGTTTTCAGCCTCCCATGATGACCTATCACATCTAGCTTTGGAGGGAGGAAGCTCAGGAGGAGATTGCAGGGGAGCAGCCTGGGATCTACAAATTCCAGCCTCTGGTCTTGATTTAGGTATGTCTCACAGCCAAAGTGCCCAGCAGAGAAGGGGGGCTGGGAAGGGAAGTTCTGACAAGCTCACAGGTGCCAGAAATGCTACAGCATCTCATCATCATTAGACAGTCTTCATAATCAAGAGAAACCAAGGTAAGCCTAGGCCCAGGCTCAGGCCCAGACAGGAACACAGGAGAAAGGCCACACCCTCATGGTGCAGCCCAAGTCACTGGTACCCATCCTGTGTCTCACTCAAATTGAGAAAAGGCATCTAGCATCCATTCTCCCTGCTGAAGACTGTGCTCATGGTGCTGCTTAACAGACATCCATGGCTCCCTAGTGCCAAAGGAATAAAGCTTGATCTCTATGAAGTGGGATCAAGGCCCTTCATAATGCAGCCCCTGCTAACCTCTCTTGTCTCATCTCTATCCCATCCCCCAAACACACCAGGCTCCAAAAACAGCCCAGGCATCTCCAGGTCTCTGAGCTGTTGATTCTAGCTTGAAATGCCCTTCCTCCTCACACTCTCTGTCACAATCTTTCTCAAATGCCACCTCCTCGATGGAGCCCTCCCCAACGTTCCAAGTTAGATGTAATCACTGGGCCTCTGCACCTCCCAAAGATAGGGCCACAACTCAAAGGAACCCCTGATGGGGATTTCTGGGCCTGTCTTTCTACTACACTGAGAGTTCCCAGGAGGATATGAGATCTAGGACTAGGCTCAGGGTGAGGGAGAGGAATTAGGGCTCACTGGCCTAGGGGATGTAGGGACCATAAGGCTCCCTAAAGCCTAATGTAGAGACCTGGGACTAAGGGACTAACCAATGGGCAGAGCCAGGACCTACATACACAAAATTCCCAGCTCCTTCCTAAGCACCCCCACCCCTTGCTCTTGCTGTTTTTCCAGGTCTAGAGGCTCCCTGGGCATGTTGCTAGGGTGAGGAATAGGGGCTGGTATGAGACTTCTGAGAGGCCAAACAGGTTTCCCTAGGAGGACAGGGGCTAGGGAAAGCCACAGAGTGCGGGGCAGGTTTTACAGAGCTGAGCAGGGTTCAGCCTATCACGACTGGGAAAGCCTCACCAACTGAGAGAGGAACCTGAGGCCCAGTGAAGGGAGCTGTTTGCAGGGCTTCACCAAAGGCAACTGGCAGACTGGGATAACCCAAGGTCCACCTGTGCAGCGCAGCTCCCTCCTCAATCCTCCTTCAAGAGATCTGCGCCACAGGGCAGTGGTGATGGAGGTTGCAGAGAGGGCAGTGAAGGGGCTGGGGAGATGGACAGAGCCTGTCTGGGGACATAGGGTGGGGCTTCCAGCCACCAACGGCCTGGACTGCCAGGGTGTGTGGGCTGTCCGCTCCCAGCCCCCCACCCTCAGCATGCAAGGAGAACAATCCCCTTGTGTTTGGGCAGCCTGAGCCTGCATGCTGATGAAGGCTGGGGGTGGGGGCTGGGATGGGGGCGCCTTGGAAGTTGAGGGGGTTCCAGGACCTAGAAGGGTTAGGTCTTCAGCTGGAGAAACAATAGGGTCTCAGGTGCCATCCATGAGGGTGACCTCACAAAACAGGGCCAGAGCTCAGCTTTTGGGGAGTGCCTGGAGTGTAAGGGCCCTTTGTAGGGAAAGGAGAGCCTGGAGACCCATGTCCCCATGGTGCAGCATGAAGGTAATCATCTTGGGCTTGGTGGGGACCCAAAGCCCCACATGCTGGGAGAAGGCCCAGGATGCATCCCCTTGAAGACCACTCCCCTGGGTACTGAGGTGGGGTGGGGCCCTGGGTGCCACAGGTCTCAAGATGGCGGGCCTGGGACAGGAGAGTGAGGAGGCGGGCACCTCCCTCTTCTAGTCTGGCAGGCACAAGAGTCAGGCTGGAGTAGCACAGCCTTTTCTCCCACCTCCCAGGACCCACCCAAGAACATAGGTCAGAGCTGAGGCGCTGAAGAAGGGCAAGAAGGACCACTCTGCACTCTAACTATGGTCTCCATACACCCTTGGCCTGGAGGTGTGTATCTGGCTCCTCCCGGGACTGCAGAGAATGGGAAGGGGTGTGTGCCAGCCAAGAGCTGCAGGAGAATGGCAGAACAAGCAGAACCCGAACCCAGAGCAGAAGGTAAGAAAAGAGAAGGTTCAAAGGACAGAAACAGCAGATGGGATGGGGGCCGCAAAACTGGTAACTGAGGTCCAGGAAACCCCTCCTTGGTCCGGGGGCTCCTCTGGCAGACCAGCGCCCCCCACCTGGGCAGGCCTTGGCCGCACAGGACAGGGAATGTGTTCCTCACAGCCTCCCAGGACCGTAAACTGTGCACCGGGGCGCGGACTACCCTGCCCCCAGCCGAACCCCCAAACTTCGCGGCCCGCCGCGCCCTACCTCTCTGGGGCTGTCCTGCGACGGCGGCGCGGCGGCTGGGCCGCTCAGTCCCACATTGTCCCCGGGAGAGGCGGCCGCTCACAACTGCGAGTGACATCAGCTGCGAACAATGAGGGGTTTGACAGGCGCGGAGCCCGGCCGGCCCGAAGCCCGGCTCCGCGCCCCCCCACCCCCGGCCCGCCTGGCCCGGCCCCTCCCCGCCCCCTCCCCGGATCCGATTACAGCGCGGCGGGCCCGCCCCAGCTGCCCCAGTGCCGCAGCCATGAGCCCCGCCCCGCCCCACGCATCGCGGTGCGTCCCGAGCGGCGGCCGCTTCCGGGAGGATCCGCGCCCCTGCCCCGGGCTCCTGGGCCCGGCGTGGGTCCGCGTGGAACACCATACCAGCCACCGTCCTCCTGCGCCGCCCACCCAGAGCGTTCTCCGATCCAGCGCCTCCGCGAGCCCCCTGCGTCCCCCATTTCGGCCCCGCCTCGCTCCGGCCCTAGTCCCCAGGCGCTCGGCCTTCGACCCTTCACTCTGCCCGGCCTTCTGGGCTTCCGCGGCATCCTCCGCTCTGGGTCTCGCCCTCCGACACCCGCTCCCAGCAGCTGCCCGCGGCTTCCGTACCGCACCACCCGACCGGTGCGCGCAGGACAGGTTACCATGGAGGAGGGACCTGAGTCGTGTGGCCCTCGTGCACCCCACCCCGTGGTGCTCCCAAAGCTATCCCCAGAGTTTCTTCTTGGGCCAGGGTCGGAAAGGACGGGGCCCGGGGGGATAAGGAGAGGGGGGTGGACTGTTCCCAAGTCCCTTGCTCCTCCCCACCGTGGGAGCAAATACAGTATTCCTCCCCTTCTCGGTAATCGGCTCAGCCTAGTCCCACTGACCTCCACCTCCCCCCACAGCCGAGTCTCTTGGCACCTGGGTGTGTGTGGGTGGGGAGGGGAATCCAATCTCCCTTTCCCTCCATCTGGCCTGGTGGACAAAGGGCAGGGGGACCATCTGGTGCCGCCAGGGTGGGGGAGGGGCCACCGTGGCAGTCCCAAGGGGCGGGGGGAGGGGCGACGCTCCGGAGACAGCAAGAGCCTGTGGGGTCTAATTGCAAAGCTTTATTTCACCGACCTCCACAGCCTGTCTCCCCACTCCTTAAACCTCAACGCCGAAAACAAGCTTGGCTGAGAAGACTCAAGCCTGATAACGGGTAGGGGGTGAAGGTTGGAGGCCCCAGAACCAGAGGAAAAAGCAGGGAGAGCTAGAGGCAGGGGATGGCCCTGGGGTCAGTTCTGGACTGCAATCTGTAGTAACCAGTCGGTAAATAGGTGGGGTCTAGGGCTGGCCACACCCCAAGCCTGGCACGAGGTTGGTCCGTGAGATCCCCACCTTCCCAGGCTATGAGGAGCTGCACAGTTTGAAGTCCACTTGTACTTATGCAAGCCCTGTGCGTGTATATCCAATGCATCTGGGAAGATACAGTCGGGTCACAAGTACCCAGTCAGTTGCTTCCAAGTGCAGGGACCTACCTGGGATCATAGATGGCTCTCATGTGTAAGTATGCATGTGGACATATATGTATTTGTGGTCTCAGAGGGGTGGGGGAGCCGAGGAGGAGATGACTGGCCTGCAAGGCAGAAGAGAGGAAAGAGGGATACCAGAAGAAGCTCCTGGATTATCCTCTGCCAAATTATATCCATTGATTTTTTAAATTTTTCCTCTTGATTTTACCTCATCACTGCAAGTGAAAGAAGCAGAAAACATAGACCCAAAAGATAGGAATCCAGACACATACACAGACAGACACACCTGTTAGATGTGCATGGTAAGCCAGAGCCCACTGAGCAGGGAGACAGATCCTAAAGCAAGTGGGTAGTCAACCCCTCCATTCACAGGGCTGGGCTCATGCCAGCCCCTGCAGGAAGTCCAACAGCCCTGTGTGCCACTCCTCAGGTTTATCCAAGTAGCAGGGGTGCCCTGCCCCCTTCATGACGAGCACGCGGTGGTTGGGCAGCTGCTTCAGGTGCTCAAAGCTGGTGTGACCCATGGGGTCCTGATCGCCATATACAATCAGAACTGGAGTCTGAGAGAAATGGAGGAGGGCAGAGTTAACAGGGCCCAGACACACCAGCCCCAGCCTCTGGAAGGTCAACTCCAGCCCTTCCCACTACTTTCAGTCTCTGTCTGGAGCCACTCTGAGGAGACCAGCTGGCCCAGGGGGTGGGGGGTTGGATTTGTATCTACCCAACACAAAGTTTAACACAGGGTATGACACAGTGATCTGCTAAACAGACCATAAGGTGGAAGTTAGTGGTCAGCTCCTCCCAGAAGCCACCCCTTAGTGATCTAGCCCTAGATGAAGAAGGCTCAGGGATGGACTCTCCCTGGCTCCTGCAGGGGCACTTGGCTTCCCAGGAGGGGTACCTTCACACTGGCATAGTTGGCGGCATTGATTTTGTCAGTGCAGATGGGGGCCACAGGCACATAGCCCTGGAGCTGGGAGCTGGGGGCTGTGAGGAAGGGCAGGGAGTACATGCCACTCAGTGATGGACTGATCACAACTGGGGGGCCCAGCTGTAAGGCCTCCACCACAGCTGCTAGGAAACTGCCAGGGACCAGCTCCCCGAAGGGGGCAGGGGCTGGCACTTCCTTAGAACGCCCCAGACCTGTAGGAATTCAAATGGAGAGACAAGACAAGGGCAGTGAGTAGGAAAACCAGGACTCTTGCTCCAGGAAGCCCTCCTAGGTCAAGTTCTGTGTGCCCAGGTTCCTATAACACCCCCCAGGCCCATGTTTATACCTGCAGCAGCCTGATCTATCATCTCTGTGGCAGACAAAAGGCATTTCCCTCCATGTTTGTGCCCATCTTCCCCAGAATTAAGTATCATAAAGAATCAGGCTCTGAGTAGGGCTGAGTCCTTACTCTCTCATTTATTGTCTATGTGACTTTGGCTAAGTTCTCTCAGCCCTCTCTCAGCTGCTGTTTCCCCTTCTGTTATAAGAGGATAATGAAAGTATCCACATGTCTGAGTGTTGTTAAAATTAAGCTAACAAGGGGCCAGGGATTTAGCTCAGTGGTTTCACCGCCTGCTGCCCAAGCGCAAGGAACTGAGTTCGATTCCCGGTACCAAAAATAAAACCAAAACCAAAAAAAATTAAGCTAACAGTTGGTTAAAAAGGCACTTGGCCATTGGCACAGGGTGGGGTCCTGGAAGACAATGGCCAAGGGGCTTCTTCCATGCTCATCCTTCCTCTTCTGGTCAGTTGCTACCTTTGACAACAGCATTAGCTCCAGACCTGTACAATGAAGAGCCCAATCCACTGCTGGAACCATTCCTGGCCAGGCTGGAGGTCTACCCTTGAGCCCTGAAATCATACCAGCCTTGGCTTGTGAGACGATTAGATGGCCATGCCTCCCCTTCCACACTAGATACCAAGGGCCTGGCAGTCCAGGATGTGAAAGGTGGTTTGAGGGCTGTCCCCCCTCCTCCAGAGCTCAAATCAGAGCTTTTCAGTGGGATGATTACCAAGGGCTACTCCCCACCAGGCCCTGCTATGCCCCCCCAGGACACCAGGAGACACAAGTCTCACTCTTGAACGCTCCCAACAGCCTGTGGATATGGCTCTGTTAAAATGCTTTTCTCCAAAACTGCTCAGCACCTATTACTCCATGTCAGGTGCTAGCTGGAGACCTGCATGGGTAATCTCATTCCATTCTTACTAGGGCCAACCTCAAACATAAGGGTGAAGGCCAGGGATTTAGCTCAGTGGTTCTGATGCCTGCCTCGAAAGCACAAGGTCCCGAGTTCGATCCCTGGTACCAAAAAAGAAAAAGGCAATTGTGAAAAAAAAAAACATAAAGGTGAGACACTTCCTCAGGTAACAGGAGCTGCTGAGCAGTGTATAGACCACATCTAGATCAAGACTGGAGAAGCTCAAAGGAACATGCAGTGTGCACTGAACTCTTGTCAAGCTTAGGGCCCAGCCTGGCTAGGTCCTCCCAATCCTCCAGCCTCAGGCCCTGAGGCCCCGAGGCCTCACCAACCCCTGTCCCAGAAGCTTGTCCCAGAAGTACCTGGCAGGTCAATGGCCACGGCCCGGTAGCCAGCCTGGGCCAGCCTGTGCAGTGTACCCAGGTTCTGCCAGGTCTCAGAAGAGAAGTGGATGCCATGCAACAGCAGCACAGAGAGGCGAGCAGCCTGCCCATGGCCAGGCCGTGCCTCTCGAAAGAACAGGCCCTGGCCCTGCACCTGGATAGTGCCCTCGTACTGCTCCACATTTGCCATTCCTGCTGCCGCTGTGTGGTAATGTGCCTGCAGTTCAAAGCCAGGCAGATGAGAGGCCACAGAACAGGGGAGCAGGTGTCCTGCAGAGAGCAGCAAGGAGGCTGGAGGAAGGAGGGTTCGCTTCCAGGACCCTAGAATGTGCTTTAGGGTCTGGGAGACACGGGTGTTATTTCCACCCCTGCCACTCAATTGGGTGACCCTGGGCTTCAGCTTCCTCATCTACCCCAAGAAAGAATTTAATTAAAAGCTCAAGAAAAAATAATAACACTAAGGGTGCCTGCAGGTAGTTAAGAAAATACACGGGGCTCCCATTACAATTATTATCGCTATGATCCTTTTCTACAGATGGGGTAATCCAATAGTACTAGCTCATAGGCAGTTAACAGGATTAAATGGGGCCCTGCAGGTAAAAACTTGGCACCATGCCTAGAGCATAGTAACTGCTCAATCAACAGTAAACACCTCACTATTTGGCTTATCAATCTCCTTCAGCCCAATGCCAATGGTACAAGGTGGAGGGAAACCAAGTTTGGGGTAAAAGCCCATTTTCCAAAGGCGGAAAACCAAATGCCCAGCAGGCAAAGACTTTAGAGTTCCTTCCAGCAAGGAACGCGGGGTGCTCAGCGTGCAACCCGCTGGGGACCAACGCCTACACATTGCGGTTAGGGGCGCCGTCGCGGGCGCCTCCACGGCTCGCTCGGGCCACACCGCAGACCATAATTCTGGCTCTCTGGATTTAGAGGCCGCACAGAGAAAGGAGGCAGCCCAGAGGGAAGGGGACCTGGGGAGCCGAAACGGTAAGACTTGGGGTATTGGGGTAGGTTCTGAGTGGAGAGGAAGAGAAGGGCGGGAGCTCAAGGTGGGTACCTGAGGAGTTGCGTGATCTCGCTCAGACGGGAGCTGACGAATGTGGGCAGGGATGAGTAGGAAAACTGGGAAAAGGCTGGGGGCGGAGCATGGGCTGGGCCATACTCCGGGGCGCCCTCTTTTGGCTACAGCTGCCTCTGGGTCGTCCGCGCCGCTAAACCCTCTCCTGTTCTCACAGCCACAGGGCCTCAGTTTCCCCAAATCTTTGGCCTCGCGTGCCCCAAGCGCCGGGCTGGGCGCGGTTTCAGACCCCTCGGTGACCTGCCCCCTAAGGACTTGGCACCCCTGCGGAGGAGGGTTCCTTCGGAATCGTACCCCTGCTGCTCCCTTTCGTTCCCCTATCCTCATCCCCAGTTAGGCCTGGCCAGGCCGCGTGGCGCCTGGCAGAAGGGTGGCAGGTTGGACTACACTGCTCCGCCAGAGTCCGACAAGTGGCCTTGAGCGCTGTCCCCGCGCCCTGGAGTCTGTTTCCTCGCCTGAAGAATAGGCGGGAGGCTGCCAGCCTCCGCAGGGTGCCGATGAGGTGTGAACAGGCGCTCTGCAGAGCACCCTGGGGCCAGACGTGGGCGCCCCGCGGAGCCCCGAGCCTGGGACAAGCCAGACGCTGTCACACCGTCGCCATGGCAGACAAGGAGCCACCCAGGCTCTGACCGCGTGTGTGTGTGTGTGTGTGTGTGTGTGTGTGTGTGTGTGTGTGTTAGAGCAAGCCACAGGGGTCAGGGGAGTGGTTGGGCGGGGACTTGGAGCTACTGAGTAATAACAGTATCTAGCATTTACACTGGAGGCCTCTGTGCCCGCCCTGTTCCGAGGCTTGACCCTTCCTTAAATCAGGTGACAACCCTATTCGGTATAGAGACAGAAAACTCAGCCAAAGGAAAGATGTCTCGCTGAGAAGAATCCAGGTGGCTCTCCGCCCGCTCCCAGGCAAAAACAATTAGGAAAATCTGCACTGGGCGGGACTCAGGGTTTAGGCCCCGCCCCTTGTGCCCCTTAATCTGGATTAAGGGCTGGGCCTCAACTGCTGACTGCGCAGGCGTCGCGGCCGCGTTACTCCTCCCCCAATGATCCCAGAGCCAGCAGGGTGGAGGAGACAGCTCTGGGGCCGCCATGCTTTTTGGCTGCTGGTTCCGCCTGAGCGGGGGCGGAGCCGCCCCTTGGTAGCCAGCCCCTTCATACCGGTCGGCGGTAAGTGTCCCCAGGGAGGTAGGTCCGCAGGCTGCTGTGGCGGGCCACTCCCGTCCCGACTGCCTGGGCCGGAGTCCTGCGGAAGGGGCAGGCTCGAGGCAAGAATGTACGTGTCTGCGTGTGTCCAAATATGAGACTGTGCGGTGCGGCATGCGTGCTTCTGCATGCTTATTTGCAGAGATGCGTTCCTCGGTCTGTCTGCATGCTGTATCACTGTATGTATTCCTGTGTGCGTGTGACTGTCTACTTGTATGTGTGCACTTCTGAAGGTCTCTGCGTATCCATCTGTCTGTGCTTGAGTTTCTTGTGTGTAGTTTTAAGATTGTATGTATGTCCATATGCTTGAGTATTTCTGAGAGTCTACATGTGGTTTTGAAAGTGTATGTCTGTCCATCTACCTGCCTGGTGCCTGAACATGATTTTAAGGGTATTATTGCAAGGGATTGATTGTGCACGGCCCAGTGTGTGTGCAAGGAGACTGTGTATACATTATGAGAATAATGTGTGCAAAAGAAAGCATATGGGGGCAAGACTTGATGTCTGTGCGCACTTGTGTACACATGTGTCACTGTCAGTGCTATTACATACAGTGGCCTACTGAGAGCATTAGAGTGATCTGTTGCAAGACCCTTACAATTACCTAGTACTGCCCAACCGTGGGATGCCAAGGCAGTATCAGAAGTTCGGCCCCTCCCTCCTGGGAAACGTGCAAAATCACCAAGGCCTCTCCAAGGTGAACCCCAAGGAGAGGTCCAGTGCGGATCCTCTGCCTTATGGGAACCTGAGCTCATACTGTGTTGGACTAGACTCTTCATGTTTAGGAAGAAGGGAGCAGCATGCTCTTCCTCCACCTGGCTCCTGGTTTTCCCGTCACCACCAGAGGAGCTCCCACTGCCCACCTACTGCCTAACTCTGGAACCTGGGGTGGAGCCTCTGGAAACGCCCCCCAAAATGACATGGAAAGTGGTGTGTGGCCCCAGACTCCTAGCTGTAGTCTGCACCCAGTTGGCACTCAATAAATTGGAATCCCAGAACAAAGCAGACACACTCACGCTAGGCTCAAGAAATGATGACAGAGACACGCCCATCCCTAGGTCTACTGTACAGAAGACTTGGGAGGGAGCCAGATGTAGTGGTGCATGCCTATAATCCCAGCAGGTGGGAGGATGAGGCAGGAGATCACTGGAAGTTTGAGGTCAGTGTGAGCTGTCTAAAAAAAAAAAAAAAAGACTTGGGCAGCCATGAAGTTATCCCATTTTACTGACAATCTGAAAACACAGCACAGTTAGGAAGTGACACAGTCCAGTTTCAAAGGAGGGCTGCCTGCCCTATTTGTGTCCTTTCCTCTGGGTAGGCAGAGGTCCTCAACTGGAAGATTCTTTGAAACAGGTCATTTGGGACAAAACTGGTGGGGGAATCAGGAAGAGTTCGTTTTGCCAGCTTCCATGTTGCCCTTTTCATTTCTAGGTGAACCGTGCTCCTCCCTGGGCCCCCACATCAGCCCAGGCCTCAGCATTTCCTCCATCACAGACATTCTCTGTGAGATCTCAAACAATAGTTGGGGTAGACCATTAAATATTCCCATCAGCTGTAAATTATGTACAGTGTGATAGAAAGAACCCTTCCTAAACACACCCTCAGTGGGAAATCCCTTTGTTTGCACTGTCTTTCTCCTGTGGCAGCCCTCACCACTCTGTCCACCAGCAAGGCTCCAGTTCATCTGTCACTTCCACTAGTTTCCATGTTTTCCTTCTTCCAAACCCAATGTTTAGGAGCCCAACCCTTGGTTCAAATACTAGACCTCTCACTTGCTACTTAGGCAAGAGAATTCACCTTGCAGGGATCTAGAATCATATCTGCCCCCTGGTATTCTTTGTGAACCTGTAAGCTGAGTACACAGCCTGCTTGTCCTACAGTCTTGATGAACAGAAGTGGATTTGGCTGGGACAGTGATGATGGTGGCCACTGAGCATGCTGCATGCCCGAGGGACAACTCAGATGCACTTCCTCATGTCATGGGCTAGCTGAGCTTTTGGCTGGCACGTGGAGTAGTTGGGTATGAATCCCTAGACCTTTGTCCAGTGCAAGAGAAAAGGACAAGGGCTGGACCTCTCCATTCGCAGAGGATGTCAAGATGGGGTTTGGGGTTAGAGTCCAGGAGACTGAGAGTTCAGCCTGGCCTCTTTCCTTTCCCCTCCTCTAGGCTGTGGTGCAGACCTCCATGAGCAGATATCAGGCAGCCCTGCTGGGCCTAGGCCTGCTGTTTATGTTGCTACTGTATGTGGGATTGCCAGGCCCCCCTGAGCAGACTTCCTGGCTCTCAGGAGACCCCAATGTCACAGTCCTGGCTGGCCTCACCCGAGGCAGCTCCCCCATCTTTTACCGCGAGGTGCTCCCACTCCACCAGCGACGCAGGTGGGTGCTGATGCCAAAGGTCTAGTAGAGGCATCCCAGCTGATTCAGGGTGCTCAGAGCCTGGGAGGGCAGTGGGAGAAGCCCAGGAGGAAAGAAGAGTGCCCTGGCCCTACATTTCCCTGTATGCCCACAGGGTGGAGGTCGTGTTGCTCCATGGAAAGGCCTTTAACTCCCACACGTGGGAGCAGTTGGGCACACTGCAGCTGCTGTCTCGCAGAGGCTACCGGGCTGTGGCCCTTGATCTTCCAGGTGAGCACACGCTCTCCGGGTCTAGGGAGGCAGGATGCAGCCATTACAAAAGGGTACCTTTCCAGAGGGGGAGCTGGAGGGACAGAGAAGCCCTAAGGTGGCCTGGGGCATCTGGACCTCCATGTTTGGACAAGCAGTGGCAGGCCACAACATCAGAAAGCACCATGGAAAGGTCTGTTTTTTTGTTTTTTGCTTTTTGTTTTTCGGTACTGGGAATCCAACTTGGGACTTTGCATTTGGCAGGCAGGCTCCAGCACCACTGAGCTAGATCCCTGGCCTGGAAAGGTTTGATTTTTATTTTCTACCTTGAAAACTACAGTGTGAATTAATGTGTCACTCAAAAACTAGAAATGTTACTCACTCTGTAAGCAGTTGTACAAGGGATTTCACTGTATTTTTTCTGACAAACTACATACCTTTTTGTTTTGTTTTGTTTTTAACTACACAGATTATTTGGTCCTTGGTTTTGGTTTCTCTTTTTTAAATTTATTTTAATTTCTTCTTTTTAAAAATATTATTATTATTATTATTTTTTTTTTTTTTTTTTTTTGGGTATTGGAGAGTCAACCCAGGACCTCATGCATGCTAAGCACATGCTGTACCACTGTGCACACTTCTCTCCCTCATTAAGTAGTTTGAGGTTACCAGACCCTTTGCTGGGTATTTCCATATGTACAGATATAATATGCAGGATTGTAGTAGGGGTTGTAAACATGATGAGCATCTTGCCTCCTGAACAAAACTGCCTGCAACTTGGTTTTCTCCCCATACATCATGATTTGTGGATCAATCTAGTCCCTACAGACCTCCCCCTCTGCTGTTAGCTCTGCAGGCCATGGGAGGGATAAACAGGCCATCTTGTGTAGTCATCCTGACCTAGTTAGGGTTTTCAGTGTCAGTTAAAATGTAACTTAAGTAACATAGCTGAAGCATCTTTGGTATGCTTCTTTGAGCATGGGGTCAGTACCCTCTCTAGAGAAGCAATCAAAAACCACTGATGGGTCAAAGGATACATTTTTTTTTTCTTTTACTTTGACAATACTACCTCAGCCTCCAAAAACACTCTATGGATTTATCTTTCCATCAGTCATATATCAAAGTGCCCATTTCCTGACATCTTCCCCAACACTAGTATTACTAGTGTTTTGTTTTATTTTTTAGTTTTGCCAATATGATGAATGAAAGTTGTTTGTTTTTTTTTCTAGCAGGCTTATTCCAAAAATAATTACTTCTGGGAAGTTTGGGGTAGTGTATGCCATGTACCACTGGTCCCCATTGCTTTCCTCCACTGTGGTTGGCAGCAACTCCTAGGCACTTCTCAGCCAGCCTTAGCCCCTGCTGCTGTTCCCAGGTTTTGGGAATTCAGCACCTTCGAAGGAGGCAAGCACAGAGGCAGGGCGGGCAGAGCTGCTGCAGCAGGTACTGCAGGACCTGGAGGTGAAGAATGTCGTACTGGTGAGCCCCTCACTCAGCGGCCGCTATGCCCTGCCCTTCCTGATTCGAGGCCACCACCAGCTACATGGATTTGTGCCCATCGCACCCACCTCCACCAAGAACTACACCCAGAAGCAGTTCTGGGCTGTGAAGGTACTAGACTCTTCAAAAGTCCTAGCACCCTGTCCCTGGCCTGTGTCATGATGGGAGGTGGGGGTCAGGCTTTCAGGTCTTACTGGGAAGCTCATGGCTGCTGATCTTGGATGGAAGAGGTGGGGTATGTGGGGAAGGCTTCCTAAGGTAATACTTTGAGGGTCAGATCCTCACCAGGCTGCAGGATCATGGCCTCCTACCTTGCCCTGCAGACGCCAACCCTAATCCTGTATGGGGAACTGGACCACACTCTGGCCCAAGAGTCACTGCGGCAGCTCCGCCACCTGCCCAACCACTCTGTGGTAAAGCTACCCAACGCGGGCCATGCCTGCTACCTCCACAAGCCACAGGACTTCCACCTCGTCCTTCTTGCCTTCCTTGACCATTTCCCTTGACCAGTTTCCCAGGCCCCAGGCCTGGCCTGAGTGTCAAAGGTCTGGACCACCACTCTGCCCTTCCAAGGAGGCAGTCCCTGGGATTGAAGAGCAGAGGTCAGAGGGGCAGGCCCAGCCTGGACTTCTCATTTCATCTCACAAGCACAATAAAGAAAAGCATATTTGTCTTGCCGGGCGAGTGACAGGTTCTATGTGCTGGTGTGCTTTGGGAGAGGTGGGAATGGGAGGCTTTGGGCTGCTTTGGGGCTGGGGCTAGAGTTGGGAGTCTAAAAGTGCACTACTTCCTTATCATTTGCCTCACTTCTCTGGTGCCTCAGTTTCCTCCCCGGTAAAATGGGCATGATGGTAACACTTAGAATTTATTGTGGATGATGGTTGTAGGATCAAATGCTTCTGGGTAAGTGGGGCACTTGGTCACACAGGGCTGGGGGATTGGAGGTGGGTGTTATTGCTACCACATGACCATTGGGATTGGTGGGAAAACCAGGGTCTGGGCAGCTGAGCTGAGTGAGTTGGGAATGCCCATCAGAGGTGGGGGTGGGGAATGAGGTTTAAGAATTAAAGCAGCATTTTTGTTGAACTATCAAGTCTGTTTGCCTCCTTGCTATGTGTGGGTGAGCAGCCAGAGACTTTGACCCCTCTTGGGGTCGGATGGATCCTTCACTTACCCCTCAGCCTGCCTCCTAGGTCCAGAGGTTGAAGTCTGACCTGCCCTTCCCCCAGCTGGCTGTGCCCCTGGAGCAAAGGACAGAACTGGCTGGGAATACACAGAGCAGCCAGGCACCCAAATGGGGAGCTCCAGTTGAGCACCGCCTGGGCATGGCCAGGAGGACATTTATGCCTCTGCCCCCCTCCATCCCTCCTCTTTGTGGATGCAGAGGAACCAGAGCGTTTGGCACAGTTGGCCAAGGGTGTTGCTCCTCACCCCCCACACTGTCGTACAGCCTTAGGACTACACTCTCTCACCGTGACATCCGTCACACCTACCATCTCACACTCATACTGTCACACATAGAGTCATGCCCACTGTTAGATCCCCGGTGTTACAGATTTGCCCGCACAGTGTCACGTTCGCAGCCACACGTGCTCCCATCTGTACCCTTATCCTCTATTCCTGCAGTGTCGAGCACCCATTCAGCGCCTGGCCAGAGTCAGAACCCCGCCAGTACAAGGACCAGCCTCCTGAGCTCACCGTGCGAGGCTGGCAGACTGGCAACCCAGAGGGTTGACGCATGAAAAGAGGAGGGGTACAGGGAAGCGCTCAGGGCTATGTTTGCCCAACACAGCTGCTGCGACCTTTAGCGTCAAGGCCCGCCCCCTCTCCTTGTGCGCTATCCTGAGGCGGGAGGAGGCCGGGTCTTCAGGCACTGGACCGGCCTGGCTGGGCGGGGCAGGGCGCATGTAGGGGGCGGGGCCGGCTGGGGGCTGCCTGAGGGCGGGGCCCGGATCAGGCAGGGGCGGGCCGGAGACGTCCTTTCCGTCGCGACTGCAGGAGACCTGGACCACTCAGGCTTGCAGTCTCCGGTTTCTGCCCAGCGACGCCGCTCCAACCTCGTGGTGTGCTCGCCAGGGCACTTATAGGCTTGCGATCTCCCTGGGCCCGGACTCCTGGCCACAAGTCCAGGACTGGTGCTGAGAGGCAAGAGCGGGCCAAAGACCAGGAGAGAGCAGAGTGGGAACTCGGGGAAGGGCAGGTTGAGTCTGAGGCTCCCCGACATGAAAGCCAGGCAGTTGGGAGAGATATTTGGAGGAGGGCTCGGAGATCAATGTCGAGATTCAAACCCGAGTCGGCTACTTTCTAGCTGTCACCATACCTCTGAGCGTCAGCTTTCTCCTCTGAAAAGTGAACATTGGAAGGCACAAACTTCCTGGAGCTCTTAGAGGGACTAAATGACACAGAATGGGGGCTCCAAAACAAGGGGTCCTCTCCCTATGGGGCTTCGGGGAGCCGCTGTAGGGAGGGCCTAGGTGCAGGTGGTGTCCGCCGGTTTCCAGCCGCGTTCCCTTCGCCCCCAGCTCATCACACAGCCATGGCCAGCAAGGGTCCTGAGTTCGAGCACCCGTCCGTGACGCTCTTCCGACGGTACCTGCGCATACGCACGGTCCACCCTGAGCCCGACTACGGTGAGACCCCGCGGTTCCGGCGGTTCGGGGTGGGGGGAGCTGGGCGCTAAACCTCCTCCAACTCCTGTCACCCAGTTGAGCCCCGCTCTGTTTCGTCATATAGCTTCGAGGTCCACAGACCAAGCTATCCCCTCCGGCCTGTGGACCACCCGTTCCCTAGAGGCTGTATTGCTCCAGTCTTCCTTCTGGCAGCTAGTTAAGAGAACAGTTTAATCCCAGAACGCTTACAGAGGCACAGGCAGGAAGATAGTTTGAGCCCAGCCCGGGCAATTTAGTGACTTAGTAGGAACCTGCCTCAAAATAAAATTTATTAAAAATTAAAAAGGGCTCGGATGTACCTCAATGAAAAGGGTTCAATCCCGAGAGAGGAGAGGAGGGGAGGAGGGGAGGGGAGGAGAGGAAGAGGAGGGAGAAGAGAAGAGAAAAAGAAAAAAGGAACAGTTTTCCCCCATTCCCCAGGATCCCCAGGGCAGGAGTGGGGTGGGAGACAGGCAGCCACAAGGAGAGGCCCCCAGGAGCCTACTAGACAAAGTCTATCAACTTAGGGAATCAAGCTTGGTGCCTGGGAATTTTCTGAGTGGGTCCAAGCCCCTGCCTGGTGATTTCCAGCTGAGAGCAGCTCAGTAAATCTCTTCAGATTTCTGAGCCATAATTTTCCTATCTTTAAGGAAGATAAGAATTACACCTTGGACTTCCAACCCTGGTCTTTTCCCTGGCCTTCCCAAATGGTCACAGATAGGTCAGAAGCAAATGTCTCTAAGAAATGTGGAACTGTGTAGGGGAGGCAGCAGTCCATTTCTGGGTCTGCTGTCCTTGCTGGGCTGCCTAGGGTGGAGGGAGCCATGGGTAGGCAGAAGCAGCCCAAGACTCTCTGTCCCACCAGAAGCTGCCATCACCTTCCTTGAGGAGAGGGGCCACCAGCTGGGCCTAAGCTGTCAGAAAGTGGAGGTGAGTCTGGGGTCCTGAATGAGAGGGACAGTGGGCCTGGGGCACCTCCTTACCTACACTCACCACCTCCCTTCCTGACCCTCTCCAGGTGGTACCTGGTTATGTGATTCTTGTGCTGACCTGGCCAGGCACCAACCCTACACTCTCCTCCATCTTACTCAACTCCCACATGGATGTGGTGCCTGTCTTCAAGGTACATATGGGGCAGTGTGTGCATGCTTGGGGGACACCCAGGATGTAGACTTCAGGATCCGTCCTCAGGGAGCCCATAGCACCGGTCCTAACACTAACTTGTGATATCCATACTACATTATTCTACTCAAGCAGCCTTTGTCCAATGAATGATTCTATGCCAGGGTTGGGGATAGAGGCAGGAGACAGATGGGGGGGGTGGCAATCAGATGCCTTCTTCAGCCTCCTTCTGTGCCTCTAATACCCCACCTGTTACCCCAACTCTATGATGGGACCCTCTTCCCATCCCTGTCCCTAGGAACATTGGAGTCATGACCCTTTTGAGGCCTTCAAGAATCCTGAGGGCTACATCTATGCCAGGGGTACCCAGGACATGAAGAGTGTCAGCATCCAGTGAGTGTTCTCCATTCTCAGGCCCCTACAGTGTCCCCACTGATGCAATGGACTGACCCATGACCCAGGCATGTGGACAAACTCAAGGCCAAGGGACATCTTGACCCCTTACTTTGGGCAGGAGTTACTACCGTGACTATTGCATGGATGGAACCATTGAGGCCTAGAGAGGGGCAAGGACTTTGTGGAGTCCCTGCATCTTGCCAGCCCCATCTGGTCCTGCCTGCTGGGCCAGCCTGAGCATCTGGTGGCTTTTTCAGCACTTGGCTTATGCCCCCTCAGGTACTTGGAGGCTGTGAGGAGGCTGAAGGATGAGGGCCACCGTTTTCCTAGAACCATCCACATGACCTTTGTGCCTGGTAGGAGTGGCTCAGGGAGAGGTATATTTGGGCAGGGGGAAGCTGTGTTGAGGGTGGGTCCCCTCATCTCAAGCCTCTGCCACTTTTACAGATGAGGAAGTTGGAGGTTTTAAAGGCATGCAGGCATTCGTGCAGCGGCCTGAGTTCCAGTCCCTGAGAGTAGGCTTTGCCCTGGATGAAGGTGAACAGGCTGACAGGCCTCCAAGATGCCAGGCTAAGGGAAATGGGGTCTGGGTCACTTTTCCCTCTGAACCTTCTTTTGCCCCCCAGGCCTGGCCAACCCCACAGATGCCTTCACTGTCTTTTATAGTGAGCGGGCTACCTGGTGTGAGTATGGGCTTAAAGGGAAGGGCTCATTACAGTGGGGAGACTGGGTCAGAAAGGGCAGGGGCCTACAAAGGGCCACACAGCAGTGTGAGGCCTGTGTCGCCCTGAACTCAGGGCCTCTGCCTCCTAACCCCTTCCTGCCCCGGCTCCTCCTTCCTGAGCTTCTCTGAGGGCAAGCTCTGTGAGCCGGAGCCAGGTCTACATCGCTGGCTCCAAGGGGACAGAACCCTACCCGAGGAGCTTGGAATGAGAGGGATACCTAGGACTGATGGAATCTCTAAGCCCTCTCTTGCTAAAAACACCGTCTTCCCTCTCCATCTTCCAGGGGTGCGGTTCATCAGCACTGGGAGGCCAGGCCATGGCTCACGTTTCATTGAGGACACAGCAGCAGAGAAGCTGGTCTGTAGCCCACAGGGAGGTGTATGTGTCGGGGAGGCTATGTCCTGGGGCCACTCTCATACCTTACCTAATCTCACCTCACCTTCTAGCACAAGGTCATGAGCTCTGTCCTGGCGTTCCGGGAGAAGGAAAAGCAGAGGTGAGGCAGGCTGAGCAGGGGACACGGTGGGGCAGCCGGCTCTGGGAGGCTGTTTGGGAGAACAGGGAAGCTGAGCCATCTTCTCATTATTGTTCTCCCCACCCCCAACTACAGGCTGCAATCAAACCCTCACCTGAAGGAGGGGGCTGTGACCTGTGTGAACCTGACAAAGATAGAGGGTGGTGTGGCATTGAATGTGGTACCTGCCACTATAAGTGCTGACTTTGACTTTCGCATCGCACCAGATGTGGACCTGGAGGTACCCCCTCCACCTGGGCTTGAGGGAAGGAGGAGCCCGGGTCCTCAGTTCTGCCCCAGAGGCTCAGGGAAAGCCCGAGGGGTCAGCGCATCTCCCTTCTCTTAGGCTTTTGAGAAGCAGCTGCAAAGATGGTGCCAGGAAGCTGGCGAGGGGGTCACCTTCGAGTTTGCTCAGGTATCGACTTGGACCTGTGATGAGGGAGTGTGGGGACTAGAAGAGACTGGGCTCCCCAAGTGTGTGACAGTATAGCAGTGTGTGCTACACTGCATCTAGGCATTGTTCTAGCTATGAGAGACATTTTATTCAGCCAACAGGCTTTAGCTGTAGAGGCCATTGGGCACTAGGGGATACGGCACAGAATAACACTAGGCCTTTTTTTTTTAAGACAGAAATTCACTATGTAGTTCAGGCTGGCCTTGAACTCACAGTGATCCTCCTGCCTCAGACTCCCAAGCACTAGGATTATAGGTGTGTGCCACCCCTGGGCTAGGCTCAGTTCTCACTCTCGTGGTCCTCAGGGAATGAAGGTGATAGGTATAAATCAAGTATTTACATGTCACGTTGGTATGAGAATCCACACATGTGGTCCAGGAAGGGTTGGGACCTTGCACTTGAGACCATTTCATCCACATATTTGACCAGTCTGAAAGGGTCTGGGGGCTTCAAGCATCTTGAAGAAGGAACAGGAGGCAAGTAGGAGTGTGAGCAAGGGAAGGTCCCAGACCTAGGGCCTTTGAGGACCTGTGGCTGCACTGGCTCCCTGGATGTCTGGGCAGGTATAGGTGGGGTGTGTCTTGTGCCAGGCAGAGCCCACTCTTTGAGAAATAGGGTAAGACTCCCCTGCCCCGTCCTGATCCTGCCATCCTTCCCCTCCCCTAGAAATGGATGGAGCCCCGAGTGACCTCTACTGATGATGCAGACCCCTGGTGGGCAGCTTTCAGTGGGATCTGCAAGGACATGTGAGCACACTGACTAGCCCTCCTCCCACATCCCTGTCCTTCCTGTCCTCTTCCCCTTCCCTTCCCTTCCCCTCTCCTCCACCTCCCTCTACTTCTCCCTATGGCCACCCCTAGTCCCTTCCCCATTCATTGGGCTCTTGCCTCTGCAGGAACCTCACACTGGAGCTGGAGATCCTTCCTGCTGCCACGGACAGCCGCTATATCCGCGCAGTGAGCTGCTTGCACAGTAGTGTGGGCTGTGGGCTGGCTTGAACGCTGTCTTCCCCTGACAGCTCCTTCTCAACTCTGCAGGCAGGAGTCCCAGCTCTGGGCTTCTCACCCATGAACCGTACACCCGTGCTACTACACGACCATGATGAGCGACTGCATGAGGCCGTGTTCCTCCGAGGAATTGACATATACACACGTCTGCTGCCTGCCCTGGCCAGTGTGCCTGCCCTGCCCACTAACAACTGAGCCCTAGACCCCCAGCCTCTGCCCTGGAGCTTTCACCCCAACCAGGACAAAAACCTCCTCTTCTTCTGCCCAGTTAGTCTGTGTGGACAGAGGCTGCACCTGAAGTTCTAAGTGCAGACATTCATGGAGAAGGGGGGTCCTCATTCTTCTGGTGACATGCTGTTACATCCCCATTTCTTTTTTTTTTTTTTGGTACTGGGGATCAAACTTGGGTCCTTGTGCTTGCGCAGCAGGCGGCGAAACCACTGAGCTAAATCCCCGGCCCCTACATCCCCATTTCAGATGCTATGAAACTGGCTCTAGGCCCTTGCCTACCAGCGTACAATGCTCTGTACTCCTTGACATGACAGTCCAGTACCACTGAGCCGCATCTCCCCACCAATAAGGACCCTTAGTTCCTGTGCTCGGTGGCCATGCTTAAATCTGACCTGTACAGTTGGGGACACTGCTCCATCATAAGGGGATACCAAGATAAGCACCTCAGGGTACTACTACTAGCTTTCTTGGGGGTACCCTTGGGACCCTAGGGGAGGACCAGAATGAGGGCAGCTGGGCCGCCATTAGTGGCACAGCTTACAAGGTATGAGTGCTTATTTTGTTGGTGTGTTTTGTCAAAACCCATGGGCTCTGATGTGGGAAGCGGAGGCCCTGGTAGACCAGGTATTTATCTTAAGTTTCCAGCAGACTGGCCAGTGGTCATTGATCAGTATATGTGGAGGGGCCCAAGAGCTGGCTTTTAGTCTCGGTGCTTGTAGGAATCCAGTTTGATGACTACGCCCAAATACAACCATCTTGGTTGTAACCATCCATTTGACTGCCAGGTGACCCTGCCAAGCATTCCAAACCCTACAGGACAAAGAAAGTCATTAAGATAGTCCAGGGCCGGGGATTTAGCTCAGTGGTTTCACCGCCTGCTGCGCAAGCACAAGGACCCAAGTTCGATCCCCACTACCAAAAAAACAAAAACATTAAGATAGTCCACCTGACATTTGCTGTTAATAGTTTGTGTGTGGAGGATGCTAGGGATGGAATCCAGGGCTTTTCATATGCTAGGCAAGCATTCTACCACTGAGCTATGTCCCCAGCCCATATTAGTACTTTTTGAGAAAGCCGGTTAGCTTCAGGCTTTGTCTAGATAAACCCCTTCCTCTTGCTGTCTGCTATTGCCCAAGACACCCATCTGTCATTAGGTCCCCAATAAACTGGTTTTTGTGCAATCCCAGATTTGTTTGCCTCTTTGGTCTTCTGGCACCTTCCTCTGGCAGCTTTTCATATACAACGTTGTTCTGAAACAGACTTGGTAGGTCTCCAGGGAGTGCCAAGTCAGCTATGGTCCCAAATGGGACTGTTTCTGTCAGTCCAGACCTCCATGTGTATAGGAGGAACTGCTTAAGCATTTGGCTAGGATAATTCCAGAGCCTGTTGACAAAGCACCAGGACTCTGACTTACTTATTCAATGAATCCTCACAGGCCTTGACACGTCCCACACTGCCAACAGCGTACCCCAAGTGTGGAGGCAATGGCCAGCTGAGTCATGCCTAGCTCAAGTCCCTGACCCCTCCCAGCTCCCTAACAAACCCCCTCTACAGGATGACCACCTATCCAAGGCACGAGCACACAGGCCTTTCTCTGACAGGGTCGAGTTAATTTAACAAAATCTGCTCAAGATCCTACTTCCATTTGATACCTCCTGGCAGTCAGATGGCCACCCACACAACAGTCCTGGACTTTTTTAGGCAATCTAAACTTAAAGCTAGCTGGTGTTGAAAACACTACTCCCTGGGGCCGATAGGCCACCTGGGTTCAAATGCTACTTGTATCCCTTTTTAGTCACATGATCACTTTCTCACCTATGTCAACAAAAATACACCCACTTCAGGAGGGACCATAATCCTACTGCTCTGGCATAGCTCTTTTTCTTTGCAGTACTGAGGATTCAATTCATGGCATTTGTACTGTACTACATGCTCAGCCTTTCTTACTTTATTTGGTACTGGGGATTGCTTTATTTTTTGAGACAGGCTCTCACTAAGCACTAAGCTGCCCAGACTAAGGCTTAAATCTGTGATCCTCCTGCCTCAGCCTCTGAGAATACTAGGATTATAGGTTTGTGCTGCCATGCTGGTGTAACCAGGACATGCTCCATTTGGCACTTCCTACAGAAAACCTCTGTTAAGTGTCCATTATTTGCTACTTGCTCCACTCACTGCCATGAGGATTAAGGGCCTACATGTGAACAGTAGTTGTAGTAATAAGGTAGTCTGACCACAGCCCTGCATTCTCAAGTCCCTATCACTGGAGAACCAGCACAACCCAGACTAGGTGAAATATGAACAGCTCAGGCTGGAGTAGAGGTGAGCAGGGCCTTTCTTCAGGGTAGCATTGGTGTAAATATAGTACCCACATTGATTTTTGGGTTTTGAGACAGTCTCACCATATAGCTCAGGCTGGCCTTGGACTCATATCAATCCTCCTGCCCCAGCCTTCCCAGCACTGAGATTATACAAGCATGCGCTACCACACCCAGCATGTTATTGGGTTTTAAGATAAAAGATATTAATGTAGAGTTGATTTTTCTAAACTAAATACTCAGTATTCAGGTTTAATTGCAGTTGCAGTGTTGGCACTTTGCAATAAATAAGTGGGTCTTGGGTTGCAGTTTGGCACTGGGTCTCTAAAAGACTCACCATCACTGCCTCAGGGTGTTCAGATCTCTTCCTTTCCTCAGCAGGGTACCTAGTTCAGCAAGCCAGGCACCCCAGCTTCCCCGAAGCCCCAACCATTTTCACTTACCAGGTCATTCCTTCTGCACTCCAGGATCCCACTCTGACTGACCCACATCTGGCAATTAACAGAAGGTTGTCTTCTTTGGCAAAGGAGTCAGCAACTCCACCCCAGCCCCAGGATGACAGACACAGGGTAACAGATCCTGCCTCAGGTTTATTTGTACTAAGACCACAGGAGAACACCAGCCCTCTACAGATGGCAGCCGAGGGGTCACACCAGTCCTTCTGTCCTCACATCGGGAGATAGAGGCATTTACTGTGGAGCCTTCACAGCGGCCTGGGCACCTTTGGGAGCCTGAGCTGGAGCAGAAGCTGGAGTGGCAGCCTGAGCCTGGGCCTTGATTGGACCTTGGGCCTTGGCTGGACCTTGGGCCTTGGCTGGAGCCTGGGCCTTGGCTGGAGCCTGGGCCTTGGCCGGAGCCTGGGCCTTGGTTGGAGCCTGGGCCTTGGCTGGAGCCTGGGCCTTGGCTGGAGCCTGGGCCTTGGCTGGAGCCTGGGCCTTGGCTGGAGCCTGGGCCTTGGCTGGAGCCTGGGCCTTGACTGGAGCCTGGGCCTTGACTGGACCCTGGGCCTTTGGCCGACAAAGCCTGCTACCCTTGGCAACGTGGGCACGGATATGCTTCCCGAGCTTGGGGTGGGCAATATAGGCAAGTCGAGCCAGCTTGCGGTTCACACCCTTTGGCATCTTGGGCTTGACCTCCTTGGGCTTGACAAGGGCCTTGATAGCCTCAGCACGTGCACTCATGGCCTTGGCATTGTTTGCCTGCATCTTCTTCAGGCCCTTCTTGTTGTGCTTCTTGGCAAAACGCATATTCCTTAGGAACTTGGGATCTACCTGGAAAGGAGAAATGGCACAGGTGGCAACAAAGTAGTACAGTTAGAAACAAAGGAGCTGAGTCGCTCCCTTCCCTTCAAGCCCCACACCATGCTGATTATCCATGCTTCCATAATCCTAAAACAGGGAAGCTGGGAGCCACTTCCCTTCTCTACATTCAATCATAAACACCAACCCTCTAATGATTATCCTGGCTTAAGCTTACAAGGTTGCACAGATTGCTGGCCAGTGAGAGACAGTGACCCTATATATACCGTAAGCCTGAATTACCAAGTCCTCCTTTTCCCCCTTGCACTGGAGTCCTTTTTCCTTCACCCCCTTTCCCTTCATCCTTCTTCCTGTTCCAGCTATGGTCCCGCGCGATCTTCAGTAAATGTAGCTACTTACTACATACTAAGAGGTGTACACTTGGCAATTCTTTCCTTGTCATCACAAGAACCTGGACTACTTTTGGCCCACTCAACTGTAAATAAAGGCCCCCAGGTCATCCTCTGTGCTCCTTTCCATAAGGGCACCTAGTTTTCTAAAAACATCATCATATCTAACCTTTTAAAACGATTTCCAGAGGCACACATACCACCAAGTTACCCCAAGGAGCCAATACTCTACCTGGCTAACGGGGTACAAAACACATTTTCAAAGCTAACAGTTGAATGCAACTGCAGATAGAATGAATGAGGAAGGCTGCCCTCTCTGCAGTGATTATAGGGCATGAACTTCCTGGCTAAAAATTTCTCCTGAAACTCCATCAGGGATACTCCCTCCTCCATTAAAGGAAAGTGTCAAATACCAAGTCTGGCCCAACAGATTCACACCAAAGATCTGAGAGCAAAGGTATAGGGAAGAAACAGAATGGCCACAGGTTCAGCTCTCCCCCTACACCTTGCAGCCTTCTCAGCTTATCCTCAGAGGCCCCCCCCACCCCCCCACAGGGAGGAGAGTAGCCCTAGTGCCCAGTATTGGGTCAGGTCAATGTCATAAGTCTGGTAAATGCAGAATAGGATAACAGAGTGCCTGACACACAGATAAGCTTACTTCCCTTAAGAGCTCTGGTTGAACAAGAGAAGGCCATTTGCCCTCAGAAGTCAGGTTACACTATGGGCTGGAAAAGGCCCAACAAAGCTTTATCATAGGTCTAGCAAGGTAGACAAAGGAATCGTGGATTTCAGGAGACCACATAAGTCAAGGGACAGTTAACTACTTTAGGCAGAAACTGAAGCTGGAGTCAGGACGGGACACTTTATGTGATTCAGTGCACACACTTACCCCCTTCAGAGATTCATATCTTTGCGATCGGGGTTTCTTGATGCCATTTCTGTGCCATTTTCGGGCTATGGGAGGGGGGAAAAAAAAATTAGGCCAGATGTGAATCCCAGGACTCTGGGAGTCTGAGGTAGACTCCAAGTTCAAGCTCAGCCTGGGAAACTTAGCAAACCCCTATCTTAAAAACACAAAGGGCAAAAAACCCCACAAAGGGCTGGGAATGTATCTCAGTGCAAAGGCCCTGGTTCAATCCAGAAAGGGGGCAAAAAAAAAAGGACTAAAAAAAGAGATTTCCTCTATAATACCACCCATCATTATTTTCTGGATCAGGACTTCTTGAGATCTTACCACTGAATGCAAAGCACTGTGAGTTTCTCAAGGGATAGTCTGGCTGCCAAATATACCTCAAGATACTGGCTAGAAACAAAATCAGCTCCAAGGTAATAATGGAAATGTGCCCCCTGGCTATACTCTCCTTGGCAGGGAATGAGAGCGGAGTGGGCCCCAAGAAACTTACACTGGTTGTGCGTGGTGTGGTTCTTAGACTTGGCCATATCTGCACCTACAAGACAAGGGTGGGATCAGGACTGAGGGCTCACCAGGCTAGGGAACCTCTGTCGCCCTGACCTGGTGGAACACGAGACCAGAAACGAGACAGTACAGACCTTCAAAGCTTCAACTCACCCTGCCCGAACCTAAGCCAGTCCCTGCCTCTCAAACCCAGCAAACGATGCCCTAAAACCAACTCTTGCCCAAATCGCAAGACTGAACTGGATCAAATCCGACTTCTCCCTCATCTCCTCTCCCTACCACACAACCCTCTAAGAACCTAGAAGCAACAATCCCCGCCCCGCAGCTTCCACTCCCCACAGCCACACCGCCAGTCTTCCTCTCCTCTCCACGGCCAGTACCCCATAAACCGCGGCGCGCGACCGCCCGTAAATCGCCGATGGCATTGGATACACAGCAGTCAAAACTCACCGTAACCCGCTGCCGCCAAGTGCCTGGGACCGGAAGAAAAAAAGAAAGGCCGCTGAGCAGCACGGGAAAAAGAATTAACGACGCCGGAAGGTACTATGGAAAAGCTTTCCCCATTACCGAAAAGAAAGGTTCCGAAGCCCAGAAAGGCCGAAAGCTAAACGTAGAGGCTTTGAGCCTGGCCCCGCCCTTTTCGGCTGACTCCTCCTTCCAGCTGTTAAAGATCCTGAAGGCGAAGGGAGTCCTTGAAGGGTGAATGTTAGGGAGTGACAGATCTGTTCTTTTTTTGGTACTGGGGATCGAACTCAGGCCCTTGCGCTTGCGGGGCAGGCGGCGGAACCACTAAGCTAAATCCCCGA